GGGCTTTGGAGTCAGATATACTTGGCTTTGATTCCAATTCTGATATTATTAACTGTGCCTGTGTGAGAGTTATTTTACCTCTCTGTTCCTCTGATTCCTTATCGGTAAAAAGGGTGGTGATAATTTTGAGGATTGCCTTAGATTAGGTGTGCAAAATGATCACTGCATTGCCTGGTGTGTAATAGACGTTCGATTTATACCCTGTGCCTCACTTTCATCTTTTCTTCCCCAACTGTAGGACACAGGAATGCGTGTAAATTTCTGCACTCAGTTTTAAAATTTTCCAAGTAGAGGATGAGTGAGAGCTGGTGCTTGCTAGGACTTAACGTCCAAGGGATCTTAGTTAAGTTTTGGATTCAATAAGAACAATGCAGTGTAGCTTTGGGCTAGTGCCCATTTTTATGAACTATGACATCTCTTTCTGTATGGACTGGTCACACCACATGAAGAGCATGCTGTGTTCAGTTCTGAGTACCTCTTCCCAAGAGGCAGCATAGGGAGGCGTTTAAGAACCGGATGTCCCAGGTTCGAGGTCTGACAGCCACGTGGCAGCTCTGTGCCTGGAAAACACAAGCCAGTCTCTTCACTGGTAAAAAGAGCAGCAATAACGGCACCTACCTGCACAACCAGGAATGAATGAATCATTTTGTGTCAAGCACGCAGATTAATACTGGGCACGGAGTAAGTTCTAAGTGAGTGTCAGCTGCTTTCGAGGGGACCCCAGGGGAAAGCAGCCAGGATGCTGTGGAAGTTGAGGAAATTGGAGGTGTTTAACCTGAGGAAGAAAGAAGGGTTGAGAGTCCTGTACCATTTAAAGAGAAATTTTAGGGAAGAGTGAATAGACTTATTTTGTGTTACTGGGAAGAGTGGAACTAGGATCAATGAGTAGACATACAGAGGCTTATTTTATTTTATTTTTATTATAATGAAAGGCTTTGTAATAAGAGGAGCTGTTCAGAACTGCAGCGGATTGTTTGTGGGCTGGTGAGCTCGCCATCGCATGGAGGCCTAGAAGGCCAAGGAAAGGATCCTGGCCTGGCTGGAGGGGTGACCTACGTGACAGGTGGTCTCTTCTGCCCTGCTGTCAGTTCAGATCAAGTGACTGGCTGAGAGCAAGATAATTTCGCACTGAAATTTGCTGGGTGTTGGTAGCATGCCTGGGAACTTTCTCCCAGGAGGCAGTCTCTTCTCCTGGTCTATCATTCATTCATCTTGCAGATAGTTGTTGTGTGAGACATTATATTTCGGGCCTTATATTGCTGAAATGAAAACAGATTGAAAATGAATTTGTATTTAGCATACATCATGCAATTCTTGGAGAAACCCAATGAGTTAAGTTCCCTTTTGGGAGACAGTTCTCCTTGGGAGTGTTGTGTTTTGGGAGTTCTTTTGAGCAAAGAACTGGGTGCCTTTTGTTTTAGAGTATCTCGTCAGGAGGCTTGCTAGCAGGCATCTTTGGAAGGTAGAATCTGTCTCTCTAGAGCAGAGGGCAGGAGTGTTTACTGCCCAGCATAAAAGATTTGGGTTTCTAAGCTCGGGGTTCTCTCCGGTAACTCGCAGTGTGTGCATAGGCATCCATTAGGGCCCGTTAGTGTAACCCCAAGGGACGTGGGGGAAAGGACACAGAACAAACAGGCTGGTGCTCGTGCCACTTGCTGTGCTGGGAGTAATGAAGGCCTTAGTCTCTGCCCCAGGAGTTTTGTGTCTTCTACCAGCATCCGTAAAACTGTGGCAGGCTAACTCATTAGCTTGTAAGTAGGATAAAAATCTCAGGCTCTTCACAGTTGTGGACATTAAGGAGGAGTGAAGTGAGAGTCAGAGAGGCCCCGGGGACAGATGATCTAGTGTTCCGGGGTCATGAAATCCGAGCCCATGTCTCCCGAGGATGTCCTTTCCTTCCTGTTGTAGAGAAGTGCTCCTGCTTTTACTGTTTCTCCCGGTGCCACCAGAGCTGTGGCCACCCCAGCTGCGAAGGCCCGCAACAGCAGCTGACACCTGCTGGGTGTCAGTGATACGCCAGGCCCTGTCTCATCTCACTGAATTCTAACCAACTGCACTGTAAGGCAGGCATACCTCCTCTCTCCATTCTGTAGATGAGCAAAATGAGACACCATGACCGATATCACAGGGGCAGGAAATCGTGGACTCTAACCCAGGCAGAGTGACTGCAGAGCCCGGGACTCTGGAGCAGTGAGGAGCGAAATCTGAAAACAGACCTGCCTGGGTTTTGAATCCCTGTACCGTGCCCTCCCTTCCTGTGTGAGGTGGGGCAAATTCACCTCTTCAGCCGCCTTCAGCCCTTCGCATCTGTAAGAAGGCGAGGGAACGCAGCGATAGGACCCACTCCATAGGGGTCTTAGGAGAATTAAACTTACCTGCATTCTATCAAGTCTGTAGCACAGCTGCTTCCTGGCAGCTAGTAAGCCTCTCTAAACATGAGCAGCTAGTATTATTATTTTTTATCCTTGCTGCCTTCCTTTCCTTTAATTAAAAAAAAAAACTTTAATGGTTTGTACTCTCAGAGTTCTCTAATGTAAGTATTTTTTACCAGAGGAAAATTGTCATTCAGCCCAGTTTACATCAAGAGGATGAATTTCAGATGTGGGGCAACACTGGCACAGGCTGTTTTCCTTATATAAATATTTTCTCTAAAAATGAAAATAGCTGAAACCCCCTATAGACTCAATTTACTCTTCAATCTTCATTTTAGTAACCCCTTCTCTTTCCTAAACAACTCCTAATGCTCCAGTAATGTGTTCCCATGACAGCTGATGCCCAAGAAGATGTCCTTTACGGGCCCGAAATTTTCCTTAATGGTGATGCTGCTACTCAGTGTAAACAGTGTGAAATGTTTGCTGTGCTTCCTTCTGCAAATGGCGGTGAGGAAATCATGCAACGCGTCGTAAAGATGGCAGACTGACCCAACGCAGCTTTGAATATTCGGTGGCTGTCTGTCGTTACAAGGGGACATAGTAGAGTTAATTATTGAGGAACTCTTCCCTTTGAGACAGGTGATTAATTGAAGGCATTTTCTGATTGTGCTTTACTTTAGATTAACAGGCTGGAAGGTTTCAGGTTTAAAGAGCAAAGTTATGTATCATAGAAACAACAGGAAGACATACTTAGCTACCCTGTACCCAGATATTGTAAGTAATATTGGTAGGCCTGTCTTTGAAACCAAATTCTCCCTAGGGTCTCCACTCTAATTTACTTTGTTGGTCCGACACTTGCATGGTATTCTCTACCTGGAAGTAAGCGTGGGGGGGTCTGGTGTGGGGTCATCGGTTGACAGGGGAGGACACAGTACCTGGCGTGGGGGAGGCCTTCCTTCAAGTCTCAGGGTTCCCAGTGTGTTGATTTCCTGGGTATACCCCACATTCCTTTGAGGCATTACCATTTTTCCTTTATTACATTCTCTCCCCACTTCCCAATTTCATGCTAGATCAGATCTTTGGCATCCGTAACACATTTACAAAATTCTTTTAGGAGGTTAGATTGAAGTCAGGGACTGGCCTCCTGAATCTCCCTCTAAATTGCAAAAGAAGTTTTATACAGTACGTGGCTCATGAATTAAGATCTTCGGTCTAAATGACAGTTTTGAGAAGTCTGTTGTACAGGATTTTGCTAGCAAATACCTAGGAGTGGACATGTGATTGATTCGCTGACAGACCATCTCTGAAAGCAGTTCTGATGATGGACTTATAATTGATTGCATCCATCATCCAGAGCCTAAAATACTCCCTCCCTAAATGAAAAAAGATAAATGAAATAAATTATGCTGAATGTATAAACTGACAAATCTGAGGGAATTTAATGAAACTCTAAATTACTACAGCCAACAGATAAGAGAAAAAGGTTTCTTTGTTACTGATTATAACACTAAATTAAAAAAAAATTACTCAAGAAAAATAATGTAAGAAACAGAGATCTGTGGCCAATGTATCAAACTAAGTTATTGAAAGGTTTTTAATAAGTGTATCTATCTCATTCCATGGTTATTGTTGATTCATATCAATCTTGTTAGTGCTGTTGGAAGAATAGTAAATGCAGGGACTGCCTTGAAGTATAGCTCATATTATTGATATTATTGCTATTGTAACACGTTTTAGAATTCATATGGCCTTATTTCCAGGCCACTGGAGGCTCTGTACCAAATTGAGGTCGTTTAAGGAGCTGTTTGGAAGGTGGCTCCTCAGTGTGTGAGTAATTTTATCAGTTAGTACAGTTTCAGCTGTAGGTAAAAGACAACCAACTGAAAGTGACTTAAACAATGGACATTTATCATCTCCCCTAACAAGGAGTCCTGAGGTAAGGCAGCTGCGGGGTTGGCTGCTTTGGTGGCCAAATGGCATCACAGCGGTAGCTTGGCATTTCTCTTAGCTTTCCCTTCCCTGGTTGTTAGACGGCTGAATTATTTGAGGAGCTCAGCTTTGTATACCAGTATTCAGTGTTGGGAAAAGGGGCCTGTTTCTAGGTAAGTAAGCTTTACCTAGAAGCCAGACTGGCAAGGGGAATGGGATTACCAGGATTCATTCAAACAAATCAAGACCTGCCCAGACTCGTGAAGTTCATGCTGCCCGTTACCCGATTGAAATTGGTATGCCAAAGGAAAGGGGAAGGGGAGGCTCCATGGAGAGGCACCCGGCAAACCCATTTAGATGGGGTATTGGGATTTACTGGGAAGGTGGTTTTATATTTTCTGTCAGTAAATTGTTTTCCTAGTGGGATGAATGGGCTAGCATATTGAATACCTGGTCTGCCTTTTCCTTTTTTTTTTTTCCACGACAGTTTACATTCAGTACTATTTTGTATTAGTTTCAGGTGTACATCATAGTGGGTAGGTAATCACGTACTTTCCAAGTGCCCCCCTGAAATCTCCAGTACCCACCTGTCACCATATGTAGTCATCGCAGCAGCATTCACTACATTTCCTGTGGTGTACTTTTTTTCCTTTTTGCTTTAAGTTGGACTCAGTTTGATATGTTCTCTGTCTTTATCAGGACTCTGTCTACCAGCGATGATGTTGAAGACAGAGAAAATGAGAAGGGTCGCCTGGAAGAGGCCTATGAGAAATGCGACCGTGACCTGGACGAATTGATTGTGCAGCACTACACAGAACTGACGACCGCTATTCGCACGTACCAGAGCATCACAGAGCGCATCACCAACTCCCGGAATAAGATAAAGCAGGTAAAGCCTCCTTTCCTCTGGCGATTCCAGCACCCTCCCGTTCGGCCGGGTGTTGCCGCTGGGAGAGAGGCGCTGTGCAGTGGCCGGGACCTCACTGTGCCGTGCCTGAGGGTGCTTCAGGAGCTAGGAGATGCCGACGCTGGCAAGCCTGAGGGTCACAGAGGGCGTCTGGGGTTGGCTTCTTTCTCCCCTGTCTTATCCTTGGCTCCTGTCATCACTTCGTACTGTGACATGACACAGGCGGTGGCCACAGCTTGAGGATGACGAAGAGGAATCCTAACCAAGGGGGAGAGCTGTTGTAAGAGTCTAGGGGCCCATTGCAGTGTGGCAGATGTATTTAATGTGCTCGTTCCACGCCTGTGTGTGTGTGTGTATTGCTGTAGCAGTTGAGACAATTTTTGTTTTCTGAAATTTTGTCTGAGTATGTCGCCTAACTTGAAGTTGGTTGTGATTTCTCTGCAGTCATTGGACATTCTTTGCAATTTTTGTGAAGAAAATCTAACTCATGAATCATTTAAACAAAAAATGAGATATTTATGGGTACTGAAATTCTTGATTATAATTCTTAGTAGTGACAAGCATGTATTAATTTTTATTTTATGATTGTCTCTTCCTGTTTTGGAGTTGTTTCCTTTCTCTTACTGTCATTGTTTGCCTCCCCTCGTTTTCTCTGCCCTTTCTTCCTTCCTCCACCCCCTTTCCGCCTCCTTCCTTTTGTGGTAGGTGCATGAGAAGCTGCTGGGGGCTCCTGGGCACCCTGTCTTTAGTCCCTAAAGGGTAAGAAGTGTTATATTTGGCCAAGGGAGAAACTGATACATAAACATTGTGTACTGCCACATTATAGTTGTGCGGTTCTTGGTTATGTATTTTGAGGGTCACTCTTTTAATACCTCTTAGTACTACTCATTGGTAAGTATTAATTTCTTCTACTTTTTGAGCATGATTTCTTGCCAGGCATGGTTGTCCCTTTTCCTAATTCAACAAATCTAGAATTTTAACTCTGGCCTCCCTGACTCTAAAGCCCTTGCTGCTGGTTTTCAGACATTTTTAAAGCAGTAACCTTCCCCACGCCCTTTTCATAAAATTAGGTATTTGGCAGAACCCCAGCCTACCGAACAGAGAAGGTGGTGGTGCTCTCTGATTGCCCGACAGGAGGGGTGAGGGGTCGGGAGCTCACGCTCGGTCCCCTCTTTCGCAGTTGGCGGCTGCCTCGGAGGCATCCCTGTCGGCTGAGGGCCCCTGGACCATGTGAAGTGCGTTGCCTGGTGCCATTTGACTGGCGCAGGGATTCCCTGTTCTCCACCTGCTCAATAACACCTGCTTGCCGTGTTCTCGCTGGTTTTCTTCCCTGTCTTCTAGACCTTATATTAGGATTTTATAAGCAGCCATGTAAATTACTCTTCTAAGACAACCGTTGATCTGTTTCAGCCTCTAAAATTACGGTTGCCAAATCAGTAAGCTTTTAACATTTTTTGAAGCAATGTGCTGACCTCTCTATATTTTAAAATTAACTGGGCATTTTCGAATAGAATGCTGTCATTCTTGGCCTTTACAAGTGGTGAGTTCATCCTATGGATTTATCTGTGAAACTGGGTAAAAGCATAGATCATTTGCTCTAGATTTAAAGTAAACTGTAGTCCGTTTTGACCCAACAGACTAAGCCCAAGAGGGGTCAGAAAATGAACGTATAGAGCTGCTGACCTTCTGGCTTCGTCTCCGGTAGTCACAGCGAGGGCGAAGGACCTTTTGGTATTTGTGCTTTCTGATTTGTTTTCCTGACTGCAGGGACCTTGTCCTAATCTCAAAGGGAGCACTGTTGCGGTTGCTGCCTTGACTCCCCATTGCTCTGAGCCGAGAGCATCTTGGTCCAGGGACTGCTTGCTCATATGGAAAAGGAACGGCTCCTCTTGGTCATTTCACATTTGTTTTAGTGGCCACAGGCTTTTTGCTGTCCTCATTTTCAAGTATGGTAAAGTTTTGAGCAAAAGGAAATGAAAAAAGAAAACTTTGTGTTTATATATATCAGTTTTCAAGAAAAAAGTCACATAATTCTGTGTTCTGAATTAGCTTCAATACTGGGAAGAGAAAGGGCTAAAGCTCTCTTCAAAAGAGCCTTTAAAAATTGATAAATGGGAGAAGAAAAATTAAAAGGAATTTATTTTCGTTGTATAATTTGACAATTTTGTACTTCGAAAGTCCATTTCTTACCACCTCAAAAACACTAATGTTTCCTTACCAATCTTTCCCTCTCATCTCTGATTTTTAATTGCACTTTGGGTTATATACAAAATATAGGTATGTATATTTTCAAAGTAGAAATGAGAATGATTCAGTGATCACTGGACTACCATTTTTTCAGAACCAAGTAAGATGTTGAGAATATGTACATGAGTAGAAATTTTTTCCCTGTTTTCTGCCAAAAGAATTTAATGAGGATTCGATAAACATTTGCTGAGTGCCAGCGACGTGCCTGGTTCTGTTTTAGATGCTGGGGCTGTAACAGTGGAAAACACTGGCTCTGTCCTCATGGAGCTTACATGCTAATGGCAGGAGACGGACGAAGAAACAGACATGACATTTAACAACATTGATCCAGTCTCTGTATTTATAGTGTCTGTTTTGTGCTGAGCGTTGCTCTAGGCTTTAGGGTGTAGAAGTGAATAAAACAAAAATTCCTGTCCTTGTGGAGTTTGCCTTCTAGTCAGGGGAGAAGACTATTTATTAATAATTAAGTAAAATATGGTATTGCAGATGTTAAGAAGTGATGTGCCAAAAAAGAAAGAAAAAAGAATGGCAAGGAAGGGAGAGTAGGGAGCTGCTGCTTTAAACAGGTTGGGGGGAGAAGGCTCCCCTGAGGTCGCATAGGAGCCAGCCCCTGAAGGAGGTGAGAATCAGGAAAGCGCTCAGGAGGAAGGAACAGCAGACACAAAGGTTTCCTGAAGCAGGAGCATGACTGGAATTTTGGGGATGCAGCGAGGGAGGGGTCCAGCGGGGCTGGAGAGAGAGGAGGGTCTGGAGGAGAAGTGGCGGGGTGGGCCGGGCCAGGCGGGGTCTTGGTCACCGCGAGGACGTTGATGTTAACTCGGAGTGTGTTGTGAAACCATTGTGAGGCTTTAAGTGTAGGAATGACATGATATGATTAATAGCTTAAAAAGGCCACTCTAGCTATTACACTGAGAATAAATTTTAGTGGGAACCAACATAGATGAAAATGTTCATATGCACACCTTGTTACCTTTAAAAGCTTGGGAACACAGAACTGTTTACAGTTCCCATTTTGATATTAGTTTCATGTATGGATTTTTGTTCTGTTGGTAGAATCTGTGTGCTGGAGGGTAATATGAGCTGACAGATTTGACTGACTGTCTTCCCAGATGGTCCAAATTTTTTTTTTTTTTTTTTTTTTTACCTCAGGTCCTTTTGGAATTTATTTTTCTAGATGAAAAAAATTGCAAATAAAATGCCATGTATGATTGATCAGGTCAAGTAATGTAGATACTAGGCAAAATACTTGGGCAGTCCTCTTACTGTTGAATATATTGTGAAAGGGGTCAAAATGAGATGTATAGCATTAGAAAACTTAAGCATCCATTGGTTCTGCCAGTACCTCATCTGGTGACAATTGTGGCAGCAACAGCAAAGCGGATGAATACAGTAGATTCAAGTGGAGGACTCCGACCGTATAGGTGATGCTTGCTGGTATTTGGGTGCTTCCTCCATGGGTCCTGGGTGGGTGAGATGATATTAGATTTCTTTAAAGATACTCAGTAGGCCATCTAATGCTTACCATAGGAGCAGGTAGGCTGATGGAGACATAGTGACATGTGCACAGATACTTTACATTTCACCCCAATTTTGGCTGCCTTACTGGTGCTAGATCAAGCTCTTAACTCATTTTTCTTGCCTGTAGTTGGAAAAAAGTATACAAAATTATTCAAGTGAAGTCGTTAGGACTTGATCATGCAACATTCATTCATTGACATTTAACTAAAATAATTTTGTGACTTTTATATGAAAGTATACCTTGAAAGGTAGAATTAGACTGAGGAATAACCTTAATTAATATTTTAAAAGTCACAGTAGAACAACATGGTTTTGGTAGGAAGTTATTTACAACCCTCATATTAGATGGAAGATCCTCGCTGCTTGTATGAGAAAGGGAAAGAAAGCCCAGAAATGGACGCAGTGAACAGTGGGCAATAATGAGATGCTGCAGTTGAAGACGGAGGCAGGAGCCTGCAGTGCGTTAGCGCGGCCCCTAGAACTTGGCGGTAATATTTCCATTAAGTTGAACAGCGTCTGTATTTGTGTGTTGTTTCCAGACTCTGCAGCTCAGAAATGTTGCCCTTGGAAAGGGTTGAGTGGAGCCTCTCAGAGAATTGAAGACCTTAGAGAGGTAGCTAAAAAATCTAAGAGAACAAAACCTTTGGAATAAGCTTGGGGGTTATTGGATAATTATCTATAGTTTATAAAGGGCTTTTAAAGAGAATAGTAAGCAGTGTTTCTGAAGTTCATTCTTAATGTGTACTTTCTATAATAAGATTCGGGGAAAAAATGGGTTGACACATCAGAAAAATACCTGTGAAAATACTATTTTTTTTTTTTTACTATAAAAAGAGAACATACCATATTTTGTGCTTTTAGAATAATTATATTAATTTTCATTCACCATCCCATATACATGGGGAGCTTTTGTCCAGCCTGTGGCCCCGGATGGCTGTGAATGGGGCCCTATACAAAGTTGTAAATTTATTTAAAACATGAGATTTTTTTTTTTTTTTTTTTTTTTTTTGGTGATTACGTGTCACAACGTATTTAATGTGTGTGGCCCAAGACAACGCTGCTTCTTCCAGTGTGGTCCAGAAATGCCAAAAGGTTGGACACGCCTGTTTGAGGGGATTTCTCGTTTACATTTTCAGTGAGGTGCGTGCACGTCTGTTGTAGTCATTGTAGATACTGTGCACACTCAGGGGCATTTCCCGCTTTGTTCCTGATCCACGTTCACTGCTTTTCTGATTTTAGGTCTTGAAAGTTAGGGCTTTCCACCACCCGCCCCGCGCCCGCGCCGTCCGCCCCTCTCGCAGGTGCCTCTGCGGCCCCCTGGCGGCTGCCCGCGCAGTGTTACCCCGAGGCCCCGCGCGCCTCCCGCCCTGTCTTTCCCCAGGCAGGCTTGCAGGCGTCGCCGTCACTCTGCCGGCTGCGTCGTCTCGTGTGTCTGTTCACCTCCTGGGCCCTGTTTTCCTCATTTTCTGTTTCTCTAATAGTCTCTAATTAGAATGACTTGCAGTTCTTGTATATTAAAACAGAAATGCTTGCTGTTGCTGAACAGGTGATGAGTAATGGTGAAATTACTTGAATTCTCAGGAAGCACAGGAAACGTGTGTTTGAGGAAGGATTTCTGTGCTTGGGTTTTGATGTCTTGATTCGAACAGCTTGGCTTTTCATGGATTTATTTAAGGGAGAAACAACGTAACATAATTTTTAAATTTTAATTGTCCTGATAAATAGATTGAAATTAAAATTGCCTATGCCACACTCATAAACGTAAAACAGGCATTTGATATAAATGTATAATTTGTTACCTTTCTCACGTTGAGATGTTGTTAGTCATTGATGGACATAGCCCAGTTCCTCCCCTTTCTGTTTAAAAAAAACCTTATTTACTGAGCTATATTTACATACCATATATATATTTTAAAGATTTTATTTACTTATTCTTTGAGAGCAAGGAAAGGAGGGAGGAAGGAGGAGAGAAACATCCATTTGGGAGGGAAACATCAATCGGCTCCCTCTCATGTGTGCCCTGGCCTGCAACCCAGGCATGTGTCCTGGCTGGGAATCCAACCAGCGATCTTTTGCTTTGTGGACATTGCTAACCAACTGAGCCACACCGATCAGGGCTAAAATGCAATATTTTTAGAGTTAAGCTCAATGAGCTTTGGCAAGTGTATGTACCCTTGAATGTGTTACGTCACCCTTTTCCCTGGTGCCTCTTTGCAGTCAGTACCCCGCCATCCCGTTCCAAGCAACTGCTGATCTGAAATGATCGCTATAAATTATTTTTGCCTTTCTGAAGTTCATAATAGTATGTATTCTTTTGCACCCAGCTTCTTTTGCTCAGCATAATGCTTTTGAGATTCTTTATATTTCTTTCCTTTTATTGCTGACTAGTATTATCCCTATTCCCCAACTTTTAAAATAACATTTCTTCATAACTGACTTTGTAATAAAAAAACCCTGAAGCCTCTGGGTGGTTTAGTATCAAGTTCTTACAGTTTCTTATGTTTGCAGCTTTGGTTAACTCACTTAGTTTAGGGAATAATTTTGGTGATGTTCATTTTCCACACAGCCTGATGCCATCTCTCCGCTCCCTGAGCGCGACCTTCCTTTTCTGTTCCCTTCATGTCGTACGCCAAAGAAGCGAGCTGACTACATTGTGTATATCCTAGTGTGAAATGCTGTAATGGTCTTTTTCCAATCAGAAAGGAGTTTGCCAAGATTTATTGACACTCTGTAAGTTTCTCTTGATCAAGAGCCTAGTTGGGGATTGTGTGACATAAACTTTACTTTTAACTGTTTCCATAGTAACGTTTACACACAGAGGAAAAAGCTGAGATTTATAGAACAAAGGTGATATAAGTAGAATATCAGAAATCAAATTCTAGATTTTAACTAAGATTTCAAATACAATGGCTTTAATAGCTAGAGTCCATAACTCAGAGACCAAGAACTCTGAGAGGATCTGGAAATGGCCGTAAAAATAAAATAAAATCACAAATGGATAGAACCCAGCACTGTTACCTCATCCTACCCTAGTCCTGATTCCAGCACTTCAGAGACACTGACTTTTACTCTTAGTTTTTTCCTTCAGATCTTTCTATTTCTGTTTCTAAGTACTGGTAATATGTTTATACTATATTTCTTGATTTTTCTATTTTAGACATTGCATATGAACTTCCAGCTATGGAAGATGAGGATATAGCCCTCCTCCTACTCTTTCCTCTATGCCTCCACCTCTTCTTTCTCACCCTCTCTATATAGTTGTAGCCTTGTTTTTGGTTCAGTAGCGCCTACACTGTTATACCTATATAAATACTTATATCTGGGCCACCCAGCATGCTATTTTTGCTTGTGTAATTTTTTTTTTCTTCGAGTCAGTGGTTGACTAATCCTGTTGCCTTTCATCTGCATTGGTTCACCCCTATCTCCTTTCCCTGGATCCTGGGTTTCTTCTATTTTTCTCTGGTATTGATGGAGCCCTTTCTTCAGTATCTTGGTGAGATATGGTGCATATAAGGTTTACTGTTTGAGAGCTTGCATGTCTAATATGCATTCTGATTCACAATCTTTTGTATGGATCCTCTTTTATTTCCCTCACCCCCCTTTGAAAGCTTTTGCAAGATTATCCCTTTATCCTTTGTGTTCTTACATATCAGAACCAGGTGCCCTGGCCTGGGTCTTGTTTTTACTTCATTGTCTTGAACACATGCTGTGCCTTTCCAATCTGAAAGTGCATTCTTTTGTTCTTTTATTATTTTATTGGTATTTTTCTCAACTTCATTTTTTTCCCCCTTCATTTTTCCTTTCCTGGAACTCCTGTTTGGCAAGTGTTAGACTTTTTAGGTCAATCTTCTCTTTTTCTTTATCTTCTTTTTACCTACATCTTTTTTTGTTTGTTTGTTTATTCAGGGTTCTCTTTTAATCTTTGTATTGGATCTTTTTTCTATCATGTTTTTAATTTTGAAGAGTTCTTCTTTATTCCCTGTTCTTTGATGTTATATCTTCCTATTTTTCCTAAGGATGTTATTATAATTTTTTAATAAACTGTTTCCTGCATAGTTTGTTTCCCTCATCCTCCCAGTACTTTTTTCTGTGTTTTGATTGCTGTCTTTCCATATTACAGGCTTTCCTTGGCTAACAGTTTTTCCTGGAATGGCTACTAATTTTTATTTAATTTTGCAAGGCTAAGGTAAAAAGCATAGGCAATAAGTTTCACTCATCAATAAAAAGCAGTTTACAGAGTTTGAAAGCATTTGACTGAAAGCAAAATATTTAGCGAAAACAGACATTGATGTAAAATTATAAAATGCTTATAATAAGAATAAGTACATTTCAAGGACAATGCAACCTAATTTTAATTTCTAGAGCCAGTTAAAGCCTTAAGTAATTGAAGTGGAAATTGAAAAATACAAAAATATATAAACATTCTACAAAAGATGGCCATTCTTTTCCTGAGTGTCCTGAAGCTATGAAACGTAAGGTGACGGGGAAACGGAGGCATGGGAACACTTCTCACGGGCACTTCCTTTTCTCCACACTGCTTTCCTCCTCCTTCATAGTCTTGGGGAAAGGTGCCTGGAGAAGCTAGAATGGAGCCACCAATCCACGAACTAAACCTCTGTCCCACTGTTGTATTATTTGCGATCGATATCAGTCCCATACTTGGGGGAGTTTTCTGAGAGAGGTCTTTATTCAGCCTGTCAGTAAAGCTCTGTACGCGTGCGTCTCCTCCTGCTACTGTATCACTGCCTAGAGACCTGGTCTGATACCAGTATCGAACATTCCAACACTTGCAGTGACAAAGTGACCGGCTCCCAGCATTGTATTTCCTGATAGTCCCTTTGCATTGGAAGGGTCGAATAATTCTTCAGGAATCTTTAACCGTTCTGCTCCAGAATCACAGTTGTAGCCATTGGGGAACTCATAATAAACAGTTGGCACCTGTGCGGCTACTTGTTCATCATGAGTTGGATCTGACACTTGAAGTGCTGAAGCTTGGAAATCCTGGATGACACAGGTATACATATAATTGTGCCAGGACCTTGTGACCTGCGGCAGTTTCTCTTTCCTTTTCCAGTTTGCTGGAGATCTTGGTGCACAGGTTCTTTTGATGCAATCATATATGGAGGAATTTGTTCTATATTCATTTCCTGGAAGAGCTCTCTGCATTGCATAGTACTAAAGTCTCCATACCTTGCTGAAGGACAGAGCCACCGTCCATGTCTTGCCAGCTTCCAAAGTTTTGTTGTTCTCTCCTATTTGCTATTCCCTCTTCTCTGTTTTCTGCTCTTGGTGGAATTGCAGAAAGGAGTACAGGTCATTGGGACCATCTTCAAAAGATTTTCAAAGGGATCTTTGATCCCCAAAAAATCTTTTTAAGAGATTACAAAATCTTCTTATTCAGTGTTTGTTTTTTTACATTGGACAGTTTCATAAAAGTATGATTCAGTTATTGTCCTAGAGTTGTAGGAAGAGATGAGATGCTTTCTCAAGAAACCCTTTAATATTAGTGTCTGTCTTCATATTTTTCCATGTTTCTTGGAAAAATTTTGCAGTTTGATTTGTAATTACCAGAAGTATAGCCTCTTTATGTGTAACATCACACCAAATATTGTAGAAGACAAAATTTCAGTTTTCAGAAACACTGTAGACTTTCGAGGCTGATGGCAGCGACCTGCACATTGAAGGTCTGGGTTACACAGACGTGTGCGTTTGCTAAAGCGCGTTGCATGGTACACTGGAGACGTTTCCACACATACATTTTACCTCAAACAAAAACCTAAACAAGGTATGTGCTTTATATCCTAAGGAAATTTTTTTCGAGGTGCACTCAAAGGTACATCAGGAGTAGATTTCTCCTTTTGCAGGAGAGAAAATACCCAGAGAGGGGGAGGTGTACCCAAATCAGTCGGGGTCCGAATCAGAATTAGAATTTTGCAAATGGACTGACCAAGGGGCATAAGTGAGTGTGCAAATGAGGAACCGTTACTTACAGTAGTACCAATGAAGGGCACTAACCAGAAATGGGTTTTGGCTAGCAAGACTTTGGACTGACCCAAGACTAAATCTGTTTAATTCTAGGTCAAAGAAAATCTGCTTTCGTGCAAGATGCTGTTGCACTGCAAACGGGATGAGCTTCGGAAATTGTGGATTGAAGGAATTGAACATAAGCATGTCCTGAACCTGCTGGATGAAATTGAGAATATCAAGCAAGTGCCTCAGAAGCTGGAACAGTGCATGGCCAGCAAGCACTATCTCAGTGCCACCGACATGCTGGTAAGGGAACAACAGCCTGAGCTAACGGCCGTTACTGCTAAGAGAATGTGGAGCTCCCTTTTGTTCTCTCTGAATTCCGTAATTCACGTAGCACATTACAAACTGCTCTCTTGGGACCCATCAGTCTTTGCAGGTGAAGCCTGGCTGGTTCTCTTCCTAATTCCAGTGTTTGAAATGGTAGGCGATGATTATTTATGTATTTCTGCCTTTGGAACAATGATAAGAAATATAATGGTAAGAAGTCAGCACTCTAATCATGTTGGAATAGTAATAGCTTCAGAGGAAGATGTTTAACGAATCCTCTTTTAAAGAATGTCATCTTCATGAAAGAGAACTTGAGGAGATTTATAAACTTGATGTTCCATGAATTCTGTGAAGGAACTTTTACATCAGGACTTTATTTTTTCCTCTACATTGATAAGAAAGAAAACAATTTTGGAAGTCATTTTGTCAAGCAAGAGTACTTCACAGCCTAGCTTTTAGTCTCTGTCTTAGCCCATTCTGCCACCTTTTGAGTTAGAAATGAAAATTCAGGGAAGGTGGCAACCAGTGGGTGCCTGTGGCTGAGCATCAGGGAAGGGAGGAAGTATTAAAATACCCGTCTTCTCAAACAGCTCTGAGTCTCTCAGGGCCTGTGGCCCTTCGGGAGGCCGCTCTGTCTGCCTCCCCGCGCCGCACAGACGCCCGACTCCTGCCTTGTTCAGGGTTGTCTGGGGGTGACAGAAGCTCTCGGGAGCGGATGGGCTGTATTTGGGTTTTCTTTTCCATAACGGGGGGCAGTCCCTTACTTTTGTTTCACCAAATTAGATAGGCTGTAAAACTGGAGAAGTCACTGAGAGGACTTGGTGGGAGAATTCATTCAGATTTTTAAGAAGAGTTTCTCTGTAAGACTTTAATCCGAAGCTTTTAAGGAAATTTGGTGACCTGGAGGGGAGGTGCGCCACGGTGCTCCATCCTGAAGCCCGGTTATGCGCTCAGCTTGAATCCTGGATTCCCACGGTGGGGGGAGGTTCATAATTAGGTCGGCTCCTGGGGGTGGCAGAAGAAGGGGCCGTTCTCGGTATCTTGTTCATAGTGACATCTTCCTTAATCATGGCTGTGGGGTGTCCGACAGAGAAAAAAAGTCGCCTTTCTGCTTTACTCTTGGTTTGTGCATTAGGATGCATATAGGTGCTAAATTATTAAGATTCAGCAATCAGAAGAGATAAGCTTATATAATATATATAGCACCTGTGGGTCTATTTGAATAACTGTTTTTGGTATTAGGCCTGCTTTTAAAGAAGTGCCATATATTAAAAATAGGTTGTAGAATTTATTTCTTTGTTAATTATGTTCTTTTAGGATTTCAGATTTTTTGTTTTATGGTTTTCTTACTGAAGGACTAATTTATTTACTTGAGCACTAATCAATAGTGAATAATCTCTTTTTTTTTAATTCATTCTCTTTAGAATGTCATTAAATATGTCTTGAACTTCGTGGTTGCAAGTTACAGATATTCAACTCTAGCTAATTTAGGTAAAAGAATTGCTGTGCTCATGTAACCCGCCTGTTGAAAGGACAGGCGTCCATGTGGAGTGCCGCCTCTCTGTTCTTTTTCATGCCTTCATTCTACTGTAGATGTTTCCTCCCCTCTGAGTGGGATTTGGGCGTTTGGCGAGAAGAAGGGGTATAGGCTGTAGCCTACAGCTCTGGAGCTTTGCAGAGGCAAATAATCTTTTTTTCTAATTAAAAAATACAGGGGTGGGATCTAGATTGGAGCAGCTTGGGTACTATCACTGCCAGTTCCAATTAAAGCTGTGTGGTTAGGAGGTGGGGAGGAAGAACAGTTACCTTCAGAAAAGGGTGAAGGTATGAGACAGACTTCTCAGAAGTTCCTGTTTGCTGTTTGTAGTTCTTTATATATTCTGGATACTAATCCTTTGTCTGTTGGATGGATAATAAATGTCTTCTCTCAGTTGGTAATATATCTTTTTTATTCTGTTTATGGTGTCTTTTGTTATAAATGCAGTAACGTTTCTTTTGTTGTTATGTTATGTGATTTTTATTTTAAGGATTTTCTTTTTCCTATCCCAGTGTCATAAAGAGAATCTCCTACAACTTCTTTAATCTGTTTGGGCTCTGTTTTCATATATGGTATGAACTGGGGATCTAATTTTATCTTCCATATAATTAGCCAGTTGGCTCGGACCATTTATTGACTCCATTTCCTACTGGTTTAATACCACCGTGTTCACACACCAAGTTTTCACATATGTGTAGGTGTTCCTGAGCTTTCTATTTTGTTCATTTGGTCTCGTCTGCACTAAAACCATGCTGTTTTAATTACTATAATTTTATAATTTATCTTGATAGCTGGTGAAGACATTCCTTCACCTTGCCTTTCAGAATTTCTGTGCTGTTCTCGGCCCTTACTCTTCCGTACGAATTTTAGTATCAGCATATCAAGTTCCACAAAAAGTATGTTGGGATTTTGATTAAAATTAAGAGAATTTCATCTTTGTAATACAGGTCTTTCAAGAAATAGGCTCTGTTTCTCATTTATTGAAGTCTTCATATACTTTATAATAACACTTAGTAATGCATTCCTTAGAGATACTCTTTTACATGTTTTATTTCTGAGCATCATATTTTTATTTGTTAAAACAGTGGCTTTTTATTAATTACAATTTATAGTTATTTGTTGCTGCTGTATAGGGATGCTGTAGATTTTCTTTTTCTAAATTGATCATATATTTCCCTGAAACTAATCCAAAACCCTGTCTGCCTGGAAAATGATGATTTATTCTTAAGACTTGGCTCTAATTTCATCATCTCTGAATGTCCCAGGTGATTAGATACTTTTCATTTTATAAAATTATGTATTTATTTTATTGTGGTAAGAATACTTGACATGAGTAGATGCTTTTCTTTGTTTTTGTAAGCTGTATGCATTTCTTAGTAACATAAGTGTTTTTGTTTGCTTGGTAGGTCACTGAGGGCAGGGGCTATATCTTACTTATTTTTGTCTGCCCTGTACTTAGCATAGTCATATAGTCAGAATTCATACATCATTAGTCAGATGGGTCGCTGAAAGAGTTTTACATCACTAAACAGAAAAAGGCATTTTGTTCTCTTTCTGGGAGCTCCTGTCTGATTTTTCTCCTCCAGTTTTTTTGTTTGTTTGCTTTTTAAGAGTTCTATAGTTTCTAATCTTTTTTTTTTTTACGACAAAAATAATAATTAAGATAGCTAATATATATTGAGCACTCGGTATGTGCTAGTTCCATTTTAAGTTATGCTACATTGTTAACACATTTAATTCTTTCAACAACCCTATGAGAAACAGGTTTCTAATACCATTTTCTTTTTCCAGATGAAATAGTTGCTTGCATGGTCTGGGGTGTTGGCACATCCTTTTGTTTATAAGAGTGAATAGTACAGCTTATAAGTGCTCTTTCAGTGGACTTCATATGAAAAAATAATCACATTTCCTTTTCCCGTGGTTATGTGATATTAGAAGTAAAATCCACTTAAGGCATCTGAAGGGTCCAAATGGAAACCTTTGCTAAAAGACATCAGAGGAAAGTGAAGACAATAATCTAGTCTTTCAAAACCCTCTGATTTCCTTGGATTCGTTTAACAAAAGATTTTGCATTTTTATTTTCAGGCAGGTGCAGATGCCCAGTAATTTAATCCCTACTCAGGTTAATAAATCCAGAGTAAATAAATCAGCAGTGACCCCGGCTCGGTCAGCCCCTGCAGTTCTGGCTTCACCATTGGCCTGCTCTGATAGCTAGAGGCTGGGCTTCTAGATGGGCTATTTCTTTCTCCTTTTGATATGATAACCTGAGTATTGCGTAAAATAATTAAATTGTCATGACTGGCAGTGTCTGCAAATAGGCATGGCCTTTTGTTTCCTTCTTCAAGGTAAACAGCTGCTGTTAGCTTACAAAAAGCTAAAAGTGATCCAACAAGGAGCCTGTATCCGTCACATTGAAATCAGAGACTTGATTTATATGGTAGCCTGTAGCTTTGTGATATGTACAGTTTAAATTAGACCTTTGCAGTCATTGTGCTGGGTTGATGCAGGCACATTAATGACATAATTTCTGGTTGCTGCATCACATTTCTGCAGTCTGTCCTTTGTATTCCACTCACATTAATTGAAGTAATTTTGGCAGTGAAGCGTGTTTCAAACCTCTGCATTTAAATTGAAATTTTAATTCCCTTATTGTCTTGAAAAGACGGCTGAAGATGCCTTGTTACAGGTTTCATTATCACTCAAAACACTCCAGCTGCTGGTTCTAATGTACAATGACTGATTAATTCTGGGAAGAATTAGTAATATAAGAATAGCAGTGTCTTCCCAGTGGCATGAGCTAACCAGGAAGGTATTTTGTGATAGTTAATATTTTTATGAACTTTTTTTTAAGGGAAATTTGTGTAGAAGTCTGCATCAAACTGACATTGCACAGATGAGCTTCGAAAAATCACTTACACAAATTCTGATTTATTAGTGCACAGAAACCAGTTCATAATTGCATTCAATCAGTGGGAACCAAACCAGTGCGAGTAGTGTTGAGGCACTTTAGCTGACAGTCACAGACTTATGACTAAAATAATTTTTTTCATTTCTAAGTCTTTCAGAGAGTGGAGAGGTTTTGAATGTCTTTTAATCATTTTGTCTTTTTATTATTTATATGCCTTTTTACAAAGAATCCATAGCCCTATAGTCAGATAAGAATTATTATGGTAATTATAATAATAACAACGTATATTTATGTAACGGCCTTCCTCCCAGAGGACCCCAGAGTGCTTCGCCAAAGGAATGATGTGGTGGAATTATTTCACTTACGCTGTGACGCTGTGACCACATCGGGGAGTAAAGAGAGTGGGCAGCTATTGCATAGTTTTCTAAGTCGTTATAATGAAAATAAGTATATTCACAATATATGTAGCCTACAAGATTCTCTGCAGTTGGATATGATTCAAGGTTATGAATGTCAGCATGGGTCTTAGTG